GTTTGATGGGGGGGGGGGGGGGTGTTTGGGTGTGTGCTATTAGTGTATGAGAAGAGTAGGAAAAGGGAGAGAGTGGGAGAGAGATGTGCTTGCATACAACAGTATGTGTCAGCGGAGAATGGTGTGAGGGTGTGATGTGTGCACACTATGGGTGTGGGTGTGGGTGTGATCTGCGTGTGTGTGTGTATTAGGAATTTCAACAAAAACTTCATGGGTATTATGATTAGGGTATTTGTATTGGGCATTTTGGCAAACATTTCAATAAGAGAAAAAAAGAGGGGAGGGAGAGAAATACCTTGGAGATGGTTGTGTGGTCTTGATAGTGGTGCTATGATAGTGATGGTGGCACTGGTAGACTAAGAGAGAGAGAACCCGTGAATGTGTATGTTAAAGGGTTTGAGTGTGTGTGTTTTGTGCGCGCGTGTGTTGTGTTGTGGGTGTGTATGTGTAGAGGGTGGATTGTGCATGGGGAGAGGTTTGCACAAAGGGGGGATTTGCAAAAAGGGGGGAGAATTTGGGTGGGGGTGTTCACAAAAGGGGATAGTTGCGTATGAGAGAGAAAGAAGAAGATAAGAGGTATACCTTGGAGAATAAGAAAGCGGTGGCGGTTGCAATGGATTAGTGTATTTGAGACCTTAGGATAAGCTTATTCAAGCCGTCCTGTTTTATATTATAGATTTTTTATATTTTTCACTTTGTTTCGATGAAATGCTCGCATATTCAAGGTAGCACCTCTAAAGATTTCTATCATGACTGCTAACCTATTGTGGGAAAATTAGTTAAGAATTGACTTCCAACTAAACTCCACAACTTTTAGATAAACAACGTCGTATCTCCCGGCCCTTCTGGGCACAGTTTGACATGTATATCTGGAAAAAAAGTATAGGAAAATTCTATAAAGTCCTAAACTTAGTTGTTTATGCAAGTATGTGTCTATATGTAGAAATGTGTTGGAAAGAGAGAAATTACCTTGCTAGATGCTCTCTCAAATGCATTAACCATCTTAAGTGCAGGTGTATCACGACGAGTCCCCAAGTTATGGGGAAAACAACCTAATAGATGATGTTTGTAAGAAGGTCAAACATTATATAGTATAATCTTGAAAGTCTCAAGTGCTAGCATTGATTTTTTGCTTAATTAGCTTTGATAGAATGAGGGAGTACCATGACGTTTCTAATTTTGATAAAGAGTAACAACCACAATTTTATTAACATGTGAGCACCACAAGAATTTCAAGTTCAGGCAAACATGTCATTTGTCAAATGCCGAAAAAAACAAAACAAGAATGGGTAAAACTTCCTCATGTTTATTCAATGCTCAAAATAAATGTTGTCTAAAATAGCATCCGCAAACTACCAACACTTAATCAAACGCAAATTATTTATACTCGTGTTTCTGTCGACAGAAGATATACCTCGAGAAAGATCAAATTACCAACGTTTTTTTAAGTGTCAATAAGTTGTCCCGGCCAGACCCCTATTTATCGACCCTCACGTAAACATCAAGAATTTTATATTTTGGAATTAATTTTTTCCAATTTAATTAACAAATAATAAATTCTAATAACATAATTTAAATAACTAAAATTTTCTATTGCAATACTCTTAAGGAATATAGCGTCTCACGAACCTATACGAAAATGTACATGAGACTGTTTTGTGGAATTAAACGACACTATAAATAGCTTGCCTACCTAGACGCCTGAATATGAAGTAAGATAAAGGGCAGAGACCTCTTTAGAGATTGATTGCTTAGATATCTAGTCTAGGTGACCATGACACTTGTTTCTTTGATATCTAGTCTAGGTGAAAAAAGAAAAAAGTAATTAAATAAAATAAAAAAATAGAGGACACATGAAGTGAGGCTGCCATGCAAAAAGAAGTGAGAGGGAGGAGATGTTGGGGCCATCATTGTGGACAGTAAGGGACGAAAAGAGCATAGACTCTTTTATAGAATAGGATATGAGTGATAAAAAAATAAGTTTTGTAAATTTAAGATGATATTTAATTCAATACACTTATATAATATAAGTAATAAGAAAATAAGTTTGGTAATCTTGAGATGATATTTAATTCAGGTATACTTATCTAGCACTTTTTGTCTACCAAAACTATTCACGTGCATATGTGTTGCATTGCTAGTACTAACTAAACTTGTTTTTATATCTAATTTGAATTATTTGGGTTTGACACTTTGTATAAAAAACTAATGCTAGGCTAACCAAAAAATAGACCAAAAACAGTGACCAAAATGATGTGGCATGACCATAATGATATTGTTGGTTTCACTTCTAGGAAACAAATGAGGAATCAAACTCTTGTTGCTGTTACAGCCAGTTTAAGTTGCTCGTAATCCCATTACTAGTCAAGGGGCTTCAATCTATATATTTTAAATAAGCGGTTTAAGAGGCTCCACCAACACAACAAAATGAATGTGACTAATTTGAACACAAAGTCATCTAATTTTCAAATGATTTTTTTCTCATATTTCTTATATAACCCACGAATGTGACTAATTTGAACATATAATCATTTAAACATTTAATTTTCAAATGATTTTTTTCTCATACTTCTTATAACCCACTCAAAAACTATCACATTAGTTTTGGAGAGAGATGAGATTGGTTATATAATAGAGGGAGGGGTAACTAGTCCTCCATAATTCTTTAATTTTGGATCATATTAAAGGAAAAGAAACATACAAGACCAAGAACGAGAACATTTGATTTGAGATTGAGAGAGAGAGAGTGTGATGAACTGTCGATCAAAGAATCAGAGAAACAGTGTAGATTGTTTGAGATTGTACTAATGACAGATCGATTGAGAGAGCACATCGACTTGATCTAGATCTTGAACGAAGGCTCAAATTCATATTTCAATAGACCAAACGTCGAATACTCTCACTTGTCTAACGCTATATTAGTAACTTCAAGTCGATCACCGCCCTTCAGTTGATTCTGTCAAGGACCCTAGAATTTTTTCTCAGGTAAAGTTCTCGATTCAAAGTTTGATTTATACCCATCCTCTATATTAACATATATGTTTTCATGTATATAAAGGCCCGAATTATAGCTCTCAATGTCACAAGTGTATATTGGGAATTTGGATCCACAAGTATTAGTTAAAAATTAAATTTATTCACAGATGTCTCAACATGCTTAATAAAGGTGATAGTGATAATGCATATTATGTGCTAATTCAGAATATTTAACTTATTTTTTACTTTGGGGCATATCGTGTGGGGCATGCTGTATTATTATTTTTTTTCCTATTACAAAAAGTTAACACCATGCATTTGAATTTTTTTGCTGCTTATAGGTCATTAAAACATTTTGAATTCAGAGTTTAATGAGCAGAATTCAATATGAAATTGCTCTAAGTAAAGAAAATGCAATCTAATGGGGCTCGTTCGGACTATGAAATAGTTTTATGTGATTGGTTTCTTAATTCATGTTCTTTTTCTTTATGCAGAATAGTGCTAAGAGAGGGTTGCTTTTGTCATTAATCTGGGTTCGTGTTTGTTAAGTTGGAAGTGAGATGTCAAGCTTCCATGTTGGTGGGAAAGTGGTGGAAAGAGTTGATCCTCTGAGAAAGAGGTACTGGTCATGGCGCTTGGACGTGTGGCCTTTTGCCATTATCTATGCTGTTTGGCTGACAACCATTGTTCCTAGCTTAGACATTGTAGACGCATTTATAGTTCTTGGTGGCCTTTTCGCTGTTCACATTCTAGTGTTCCTCTTCACCGTTTGGTCGGTGGTTTTTAAATGCTTTGTCCAATATTCTAAGGTACGCGGTATTTTGATATTTGGTCCCTAAATCTCATTGGTAATGCATCATTAGAACATGTATTTTTGGTATTTTATATTTCTGTTGTACATTCCTGGCAAGAATGGGTAAAAATTCCACTCTGACCATGGCCATGGCATGTGCTCCTCTTCCACACCCCTAATATGAATAATCAGTTCTTTGTTTTGAATGCTTTCTTGGTTATTTTTCTCACTGGCGCTGGTGTAAGGGGTTTATTGATTGCATTACATTTTTAGTCAGCATGATAATTGTGTGGAATTGGAAATAGCATATTTCTAGCTGAATCATTGGTTCATTCATGTTATATATCTTTCTTAGGGATTTTTCTTTTAACTTGATTGAAAGGTAATCTAATCACGGGTCTCTGGTACCTCTTGCTATAAGAGAATTCTGAGATATATAGCCAAATACTGTTTTTATTTCTTTTTTTTTTTTTATGAACTTCTTAAGAAGAATTTTGTGATATGCTTTCGACAATTCCTTGCCTTTTCTTACCTTTTCTATGTTTTGAATGATGTAATCATTTGGCAACTTGCTTTATTTTTTCCATCTTGAATTTTCCAGCGTACTAGGAATTTCTAGTAACATGCTTTCCAAAGCTTGGACAAGTTTACTAGACCAAGAGTGTGTTGCTAGATTCCAGATTTTGTTGAGCATTCGAGCTTTGTTTTTTGTTGATTTAAAATGATTCAACCAGAGAATGTTTTTTATGTAAAAATTGTCATTAGAATCAATGTTTTTCCTTATCCTTAATTGGCTTTTAGTTAAAGCTTTGGAGATATTTTACTAGTGTGTTGCGTGCAGGTAGAAATATTGGAAAAAAATTCATCAACATCCTTTATAGATATACATAAATTTAAGGGCATCCCTGTGATTATATGCAACTTCACTGAAACCCAGTTAGTGTTTTTCTCCTAATGACCGTGATGGACGCTTTTACGTTGATACTCTTAATAATAGATATAGCAAAAAAATTCATCCACCTCCCTTGTAATTTATCATATGTTCAAGGACACCCCTCTAATTTTTTGAAGCTTTCCTACCACCCTCTGTTAAATTTTATCAATGAACCGTGTTAATGGGAAATGATGTTCTCTAAAATTATCTATGAACTTTTTACATGTATTATACATTCATATTAAATGTATATAAATCCTAGTATGACTTTAATCATATATTTAACTAACTGAGTTTTCATATTAACCAATATCTCACTCCCCCAACAATCAAATATTATCGTACTTAGACATTCAATTATTGCCAATTTCTCCTAGCCAAGTATTGTCATACTCAGTTGGATTTAGCGAGAAGTTTCAGATAAATCATCAACTTTTTGACTATTAGACATTCCCAGCTTGGAATATTTATTCCTTATTTGAGTATGACTCAATGACCTAGTAAACATATGAACAAGTTTATCCTCAGATAACAAATGGTGCAACGATGTTTTCACTCAGTATTTCTCCTGAAAGTGGCAGGCAACTCAAACGTATTTAGTCTTTCGTAAAACATGGGCTTCGAAGCTATATGANTACTCAGATAACAAATGGTGCAACGATGTTTTCACTCAGTATTTCTCCTGAAAGTGACAGGCAACTCAAACGTATTTAGTCTTTCGTAAAACATGGGCTTCGAAGCTATATGAAATATAGCTTGATTATCGGAAAATAATTGAGCTGTGGTTTCTGCTTGAAAACCAATTTCTTGATGAAAATGTTGTAGCAATGTTAGCTCATGACATGTGTGAACCTGCACTTAGCTTCGTCATTAAACCGTGTTAGTATTGTCTACCTCTTACTCTTCCATGTAATAAATTAACTCATAAAAAGATACAATATTTTGTAGTAGAGCCAAAGACTAAAATTTCATTTCGGTGAACTTGAAAATAGAAACGTTCCAGTAATGTTTTGAAAATATGAAAATAATTGAACTGTGTTTTCAGCTTGAAAACCAATTTCTTGATGAAAATGCCTTAGCAATGTCAGCTCATGACATGTGTGAACCAACACTTAGCTTCGTCGTTAAATTGTGTTAGTATTGCCTACCTCTTACTCTTCCATGTAACTAAATTAACTCATAAAAAGATTCAAGATTTTGTAGTAGAGCCAAAGACTAAAATTTCATTTCGGTGAGCTTGAAAACAGAAACGCTCCAGTAATGTTTTTGAAAATATTTCGGAAACATGAAAACAAAGAGAAATTTAAATATTTATTTTTGAAACGTTCGTCAAAACATAGCGAAATAGTCCGAAACACCTCAAAACCAAGAATCTAAATGTCGTGTTGACAAGTTTGAAACGTTTCGAATTTTCAACACACCAACACGAAACAATAGTAAAAAGTAAAAATTCATGTGTTTCGAACGAAACGTCATTATTTCGAACCGTTTTGATTGATTTGCAGAAAATTATTTTCTCTCTTTGATTTGAGTCGTCATTGATTTGGTGGGTGGGTCTTCATCGATTTTTCTTCTCTCTCTCTCTCTCTCTCGTGTTTGTGATCGATAACCCAATGAACATACTCGATCAATCAATTATTAAGCTTATCTTTATAAATAAATGGATTGTATTTGTGTTTTCANGATCTTCATCGATTTTTCTTCTCTCTCTCGTGTTTGTGATCGATAACCCAATGAACATACTCAATCAATCAATTATTAAGCTTATCTTTATAAATAAATGGATTGTATTTGTGTTTTCATATTTTTTTGTATTTCTATTGCATTTCCGAAACGTTTCCGTTTTTGAGTTGACTAAAACGGTACGCCGAAACAATATTTCGATCTTTGTCTTTCTTTTTGAGCTGACCTGGTTTGTATTTTTTAATTGGTGTTAGTTTTTTTTTTTTGTCATTTTTCTGTTTTTGTTCCTAATACCTAGAGCTTTCTGTTTTTTTATTTGTTTCTTTATTTATACTCCTCTAGTAAGCCATTTACATTTTAGTTTTGCAAAAACCCTTTAATTTTTTGGTTATGTTGTTGTAAGTAATGGTTTGTTACATTTGTATCTCTACAGTATGTCTTCATTATGAAATTAATTCTAATTTGTTGTAATATGTATAGTACTTAGTATTTGGAAAGTTGAAACTTGGATGCTTCATAATTTTGGGTGCTTAGTTGTGAATTGTGATTTGCTTGAAGTATTTGTCAATAATAAAATATTTTTTTCTTATTTACAATGTTTGTCTCACTTAAATGAAGTCCTTACTTTGCCTCTCACCTAGGCCTCTGGAGACCCTTACTGTTTCAGCTTATGCCTTAAATAACATTGCTCAGGCCCATTGTGGTACAATTGAAGAGCCTCACCTCACTTTGCCTCGCCTAATAGCATGGAAGACTTATTTATTGGGCTTGGATTGAGGATTTCTTGGGAATGGTATTAGTTAAAGAATTAGGTAAGGATGGTTTCAACAGGAGAGAGGCAAAGGAGAGAGGAAAGTAAAGGGGAAATGTAGAGACTTGTTCTCTTAAAATTGTTTTTGTTCGTGTAGAATCTCCCTTTCACTGCATCTTTAGCAACAAGAATTAATTGAGTAATTCTTTTAGGAGGATTTTATTAGTTAAAACTCCAATAATAAGAAATAATGACATTTTTACTATTGTGCTATGGACTCTGTAGTCTAAAGTACAACCTCCGTAATCTACTAGAGTTCATGTTTGGAAAATCTCATAAGTTCCATGATTATATGTAGCAGTGTTATTTAAGGCGTAAAGGGAATCAAAGCGAACCGGTCTCTTGAGGGCCTACGCGAGAAGCGAAGCGAGCGCTTCATCGAAGCAAAGCGAACAATATAAAAAATAAACAAATATTTTAGTTTGATATTTTGATTACTACTAAATATTTAAATTTTAACTTTACAAGTACAATATATTTAAATGCAACCAAAATAATAAACATCAACAAATTTTAAATAGACAAGATATTAAATATTGAACATTATTGTATTTTAAAAATAATCAATTAACATAATCACGTCATTTAAATGTAAAGTTAGCAAATGTGAGTTTGACTTCCACCGTGATTGATTAATATCACCACTAAATAGAGCACTCACAAATTGATTAATCAAATAGAACATATAACAAATTGATTAATCAAGCAAATTGATTAACAAGAACATTCACATTCATCATTATCTAATCATAATAAAATAGATTGTCATATAATACTGTTAGATGAATCATTCAATTTATATATATACACATATAACATCATCTCTGTTAAGGTTTGGTTAATGTTAAGGAAAAAGGAGGAGATAGAGGAGGAGAAAATAAAAAAACTGCAATCAGGCATTCGCTTGGCTCGCTTCTTCGCTTTGTCGCCTAGACTCACTTTTTCCTTGCTTTACTTAACCTCGCTTCGCCTGGGATGTTCAAGGCGACCAAGGCTCGCTTTTCACAACACTGATACGTAGTTCCTAAACATTATGAAATTTAAATGAGAAGATTTCACTGTCTTACTAACACAAGTAAAATATATATGAAGACTTGATTTCATCCTAAACTTGATTATAGAATGCCCAATGTGTGCCCGGTATGAAATTTATGATTTCTAATCATCTCATTTCTGTGCTTTTCTTCAATCTTTCCTTACTGGATAGAACTTGGAATTGTGATTTATATATTCGGGTCCAATGAAGTTTTAGCATTAGCCGAAACAAAGAATCTTGTTGACTCTGAACGTATTATGTCAAATCGGATAAACTTCTCATAGAAGAAAAATGCTTCGGTTCATTAATGATTGCATGTTGCATTCTGGTAGAAAACACAGAGTCTTTTGAGTGTGTCAAGTTTAGATAATAAGGGAAGTTGAAATTGCACTTCTTTTGGCAGGTAAATGGCATTCACCATGCAGATGCTTGCAAAATTACCCCAGCTAAATTCTCTGGTTCTCAAGAAGTTGCGCAGCTTCATTGTCGTGAGGTTGTAAGTTTGAATTTCATTTTGAAATGTTGTGAATGGTTTCAATAAGGAACTATACTGTGAAATTAAAGTTTCTTGTATAATGGGAGATCATTTTAGTTAATACCGTGATATCATTTCATGTACAGTCAGCAAGCAACAATTCTTTGAGATAAATGAACAGAAGTTTATGGGTGTTCTTCCATTCTTGCAAGATAATTGAGAGCACAGAAACCCTGTTAACAGTCAAAAATCATTTCGTAATTACTTTCTTGTATTTCAAATGATCTATATGTATTATGCTTGAGGCTTGTTATGAAATTACAGGATAGCTAGATCATGCTTCCTAAATGTAAGAACAAGGCAGCAGACTTGAGGTTTGCTTTGGTGATCAACAACAGCGTTTTGAAAGCTTTTTTGATACTTTAGCAAATAGACCCAAGATGGCTTTCTTAAAAGATGGTTTAGGGAGGGAGATTTGCTCGTTCAGGTTAACCATTAGTGACTAGAAGATTGCAATTCCCAGAATCTAGAATCATAAGCTGACTAAGGTGCTGTTTGATAAGAGCACTTAATGCTTAAAACATAATAAGTTCAATGATCAGCACGTTTGATAGCAAAAAGGTGTCCTTTAATGAAATCAGTATGTCTTGAAAATGGCTTAAAATTTTCAGTAGCCGTGAGGTTACTAATTTGCACAATTGATAGGAGTTTTATAATTTTTTATCGTTTGACATTTTTTTGCCTTCAATTCCTTTTGTCTCTGCAATCAAAGATCATCAACCCACTCTTCTTTGGTAATATCAGGAACATCTCTCTCAGGGTTCCTCTCTCCTTGTCTCAGGTAATTTGTGGGTCGTCTCTCTCAACAACTTTGAACTAATCCTTACAATTCTTTTGGAAATTCCATTTGAAGGAGTTTATAATAACCAAAAAACACACAAATCCTAACTCTCAAATTCCCAATGGTTCGAATCCAAATCCACTCGTAGAGAGAGAGAGAGAGAGAGAGAGAGAGATGTCACAATTCGGGAGTTCGGTACACCAAACATCACTGAAGCTCACTTTCTTCATTTGTCTTCAACATCACTTTTAGCAAGTAAATCATTTGTCCTTAAGCTCAATTGTTATTACGACTTGTATCAAACATAAATTAATAGAAAAGTGGTTGTCAGCGATTTTTGCATTCAAGTTGGTTGGCTTTTAGTCCCAAAGAAATTTCATTCTTCCGAAATGCGTAGGAACTCGATGACAACAATATCTTGATTCACTGATGAATTAAACATGAATTAATCCCTCGGGCAACTTCCATTTTTATTATCATTTTGGTTGAATTTAAAATATGATCATCATATTATGATATGATGATAATGATTACAAAATGACAATATATTTAACAAAGAATTTCAAAATAAAGAGTGGGAGGGTATCATTCGGGAAATAATAGTTTTCAGGCTTCAGTTCATAGTACTGATCAAAAAGTTTAATTCAATCCAGTATTTAAATTCCAGTACATACCAAACATATTCATACAAGGTAGATTATAATGGAATGTTGCTCTTACAACTTCTAGAGTGGAATAAGGCTTAAGGGAAAATGTTGTTGATTTGCCAAGTCACATTGTAACTTCAAATTGTGTGACTATACCCTCGATGGATATTTTTTATGGGACAGTGGCAACAATCAATTGTCTGCAAAAGGATCCAATGGCCTTGATTTGAACCCGCAAGTTTTTATGGCATTGCCAAGATAGTGTGGACTGCCTTTTGGGAGATTCTTTAGTCTATCATGTGCGTCAAGTGTCCAATCTATGGTTTTGTAAGTTTTAATGTTAGAAATAGTTTGTGAATTGAATATTGAATTGTTTCATATAGTAGCCATTGGGAGGAGAAATTAACTCAACTAAACTTAACTTTTATCCTAACTATTTGGGTCGATAATATGAATTCATTTTCCCCATTGTGTTCTATGAAGGATTATATTCTCCATTGAACCTAAGCTAGCATATCTTTTTTTTTTTTTTTACTATTTTGTTCAAATTTATTTTCAGCTTACCTCTGCCTCTCCTATTATTATCGATATGTGTCAAATCACTCTTCTTAATCGGTGCATTATTGTGTTTTCGATAAATATGCCCAAAATGCTTAAGTCAATTATCTCATAATTTATCTCCTATTGGTGTTACTTTACGGTTTCACAAATATACTAGTTTTAATTCTATTATTTTTTGTTTTACTATACATCCATCTTAAAATACTCATTTTTACAACACTTAGTTTTTAATGTATTCCTTCTTAATTGCCCAACCTTCTATATCATAGGGTATTGCTAGTCTAGTAGCTATCTTATAAAACTTACGTTTCAACATCAGATAACACGTCTTACACATTCCTCTGCTTAGTTCATCCTGATTTAATCCTATGATTGACATCGTTTTCAATCTCTCCCAATCATTGTCAAATATTGAAAGCGGTCGCTCTCGGTTATCTCTTTATCTTCATTTTTTATTATTACTAAAAATGTATTCCATATATTCAGTTTTATTTTTACTTATACTGAATCCTTTTTATTCTAAAGTTTATCTCTGAACTTCTAGTTTATTGTTTATTCCTCCTTTAGTTTTATCAATAAATACTGTATTATTAGCAAGTAATATGCATCATGGAACCTCAATTTGAATATGTCTAGTCAATTCATCCTTAATCAAGGGAAAAAGACACGGGTTTAAGGCTGAACCTTGATATAGGCCTACCGTAGTGGTGAATTCCCCACTTTTCCCTACAGTTGACCAAAGTCATTGTTCCCTTGTACATATTTGTAATCATATCAACATGTCTATTTGTAACTCTCTTCTTTTATTCAATTGTCATATTATGTCCTTGGCAATCAATCATATGCCTTCTCTAAGTAGTTCTATTATCTTTATGCTTTCCGAAGTAGTTTGACATTAATGATTCTCCGGAGGAAAGTTTTTCTCAACCATGGAAGAATGATGGTGATTGGGTTACAATAGGATAAATTATGTAGATTTGTTTTGGGATTTTATTTATTTGAATATTATATTATTTTTATCTTTTAGTAGTAGAGTTTGATTAGGAATCTAGCTTAAGGGTTTTTGAGTTCCCAATATGAAGGGGCTGAGATTATTATTTTTAAGGAGACTTGAATTTATTGAATATTGAGAATATTTGTTCCTCTTACCTTAATTTTATTCTCTTTTCATCCACTTATTATTTCTCATACCTTTTTTGTCCTCTTCTCATCTCTTAATTTCTTCCTCTTCTTAATCTACATCCGGTAATCATTGTTTTAACCCTCTAAAACTATATTCAAACACCTTTTGAGCAACAAGGAGATTTGTTCATTTGGACTCCATACATGTTTCGAAAACATCAGTCAATTTTAACATAATTAGGTCCATTGACCATAGCTAACCAGTTGGATACCCCAATGTAGAGTGAAAAACCATTTTCACAACTTCGCTTCGGTCCTCCACCCAATGGACGTTTCGACTCAATACTTGATTTAATACATGTGGATCACATAATTCACTTGGCACGCTAAAAAACCTTACAATTTGATTCAAGTGAGGAACCTAATGTTTGTGTTTCATCTCATTGGTGTATTGTATTTTTTTTCTTCTCCTTTCTGTTCCTTTAAAGTTTTGTTTCTTCCCCCAAAAAAGAGTTGATAATTGAGTTTTGGGGTTGTAGAAATGAATTTTTTCTGTAAAGAAAAAAGAGACGGCACTAGAATATAGGTTACTCGATGTTTATGTCTCTCTTGAGACACTCGAGAACGAGATTTCACCAACAAAGGGGATTGATGTGATGTGGCTTCCTTGGGAAAAAATGAAGGCCTGATGTGGATCTATTACAACTTTATTGTATTTTTAAAAATCAGCTTATTATATTTTTAGTTTTAAAGTAGATTGGAGAGTCTAAGAGTGAGTTTTAAGGCATCGATGTTACTTTAATGAGTTATGGAGTCATTTTTGTACTTGCGACATATTTTTAGGGCTTGGAGATGATGTAAAAGATCTTTAGAGTTGCCACACGAGAAAAACCCTCAAAGATGTGAATTTTTTAAATTTTTCAATAAGCCAAAGGCTTTTTATCTTTCCTTCTCTCTTTCCTCCCTCCATTCTTTCGCTCTTGGAACTCTTTTTCCTGTTGGTCAGTTGTACTACCCCATCCCTTAAAAAGTCCACTTTCCTTTTCTTGATGTATTTAAGGTATTCCCGTTTTGAAAAGTGAAGGAATAATTATCATTAGGTTTGGTACTTATGAACTTTGCCAAAGGGTTAATTGCAAGGAATAGTGTGAAGGGGGAATAATATTCAATGGTGTGAATGCATTCATTGGGGTTCATTAAAATAACATTTTGGGTCAAATTGGACAGTCATTTTGGGAAAGAGCATGTATACTTTCATACATTTTAGGATCCAAGGGCATTTTGAAAAATTCTTCTTGTTGCTAAATGTGGTTGGAACTTTGTTACTTCTTGGGTACTTTTCATTGCCAAAGCCTAAATGAATATTGTTGATTTCTCAAACAAATAGCCTACTTTTGTTACACTTGGTAGAAATTCCATTCCTCTGAATTTGCTATCCAAAATGTCTCCAAAAGCAAGTCAATTTCAACAACCCCGCCCCCCCAAAAAAAAAAAACCAACACACACACACAATATATCTTATCAACTTCTTGTCAGTTCTATTGACTGCTTGACGACTTTATCTTTTCCCACACAGCTGGCAGGTTCTTCATCCCCAGTGGATATCAAAGAAATCTATTTTGACTTTAAAAAGCAACGGTTCATCTATTCAAAGGAGAAAGAAACCTTTTGTAAGCTTTCTTACCCTACCAAGGAAACATTTGGCTACTATCTCAAAAGTACTGGCCATGGAACTGATGCTAAAATCGCTGCTGCTACTGAGAAATGGGGACGGAATGTGTGAGTTTCCTGTTTCCCTACCTTTATTTTTGATTTCGTCATTGCTGAATATGGGTAATTGTTTGATTTTTTAACTCTTTCTGAATTCAAGAAAACTACAGCGAGAGTGTCCACTTCCTCCCCCCCCCCCCCCCAAAAAAAAAAAAAAAAAAAAAGGAAAAGTTTAGGTGCATTTTATGTTCCTCTCATTGTTGGATGGCTCCCTTGATCTGTATGAAAGGTAATGCTTCGTCTAAATATGGCAGACCATATGGTCTGTGTATTTTCTGAAAAGGAGGGCCTTGTTTAAATTCCATTTTGTTACATATCTAATTCAAGCAATTACATGTAACAAGTTGCATGTTCTAGCTGCCTACTGGTGTATGTTTGAGCACTACTTTGACATTTACGTCTATCCCTACATTTGATGCATTGTCAAACCTAAGGATAGTCAGTAGCCACTTTGTAAATAATGCCAAAGGTTAGGTCTATATCCCCCAATAATAGGGACTAAACTGGGGGTGATTTTTTACATGTTTGCTTGCTGGGTCTATATCTTTGTTAAATTTCTATTATATTTTGGTGAAATTCTGGTCTTTCCAAGCGTGTTTTTGTCTTAAATGCTTCCCTTCTGTTTCTTATGTGGATTTTCTATCCATGTAGTTTTGAATATCCTCAGCCCACATTCCAGAAATTAATGAAAGAGCACTGCATGGAACCCTTCTTTGTGTTTCAGGTTGGTTGTGATTCAAAGTAGTTGTTTAATTTGGCCTAAGATAGTTATGTTTTTGGGTCACCATTTGAAATTCTCTATAACATTTTCGTTGTATTTTAATTCAGTTGTTTATGATATTCCTACGTTTTCTGATGCTGGTCAGTGTATGTAGGTATTTTGTGTGGGACTATGGTGTCTAGATGAATACTGGTATTACAGCCTGTTCACTCTATTTATGCTGTTTATGTTTGAGTCAACAATGGCAAAAAGCCGGTTAAAGACTCTAACTGAGCTTAGACGTGTAAAAGTGGATAGCCAGATTTTAATGGTGTATCGTTGTGGGAAGTAAGTCATCTCAAGTATGATTAGCATTCTGTTTTATTTCTTTTTATCTCAATGTTTTTGGTTTAAAGCTGTTTGCAGATTTATTTGCTGACTGTAGAAAATTGGGTACTATAGGTGGGTGAAGCTCCCGGGGACAGATCTTCTGCCTGGGGACGTTGTGTCTATTGGTCGTTCTACTGGTCAGAATGGGGAAGATAAGTCTGTTCCTGCAGACATGCTTATATTGGCTGGAAGCGCAATTGTGAATGAAGCCATTCTCACAGGCGAGTCTACCCCCCAATGGAAGGTGAATCTTTTCCATGCACACCCTACTTTATTTTCAGAATTCACTTGTACAACTTTGAATCTGATACTCTCAAAGCTAGTTAGGTCTAGTTTGTGATGGTGAGTTACTTCTATGAATCAATGCTTAGGCCACTATATGAACCCAAAATGATGAAGATCTGGGCATGTGCTCAGTGTAGGAAAGCCCAATTCTAATTACATTATTGGTGGGCATGCAAGGTGTAAACCACAATTCTGCGCTTGATTCTGTGGTATTACAATGTAACATGAGACATGCTGAAAAGGTGTTAGAATTGTGAATAAAGCCCAGCCTAGTAAGTAGCTTCCAGGCCAAGCAGTCTGGCTACTTCTCTCTCTCTCTCTCTCTCTCTATATATATATATATATATATATATATATACAACTTAGTGCCTGTGGTCTGATGCTCACTCTTTTCTCCTTGTGTCTCTACCAATTATTCTTTCTGCAGAACTGGAGTCAATTTGCAATTCCTGGCTGCAATTAATGTCCTTGCACCAGTACATTTAGTGTTTCCAAATGCGTGTTGTGTGTATAGATATATATGGGTTACTTATCAGTATATATTTACACATATATGGAAGTGAGTGTGTAGGGTAAGAGTTATGGTATATCTTAGCTTGTTTGACGGCAATTGTGGCGGTTCCTGCCTTCCTAAGAAGTTAGAAAAGCAAGTCTCAGAATTTATTGTTCGAGCAGAGCTGCAACTGCATTGCAGTTTGCATGGAACTATTCAAGCGAGTTGGCATCTTTTGCTGTTTATACTTGAATTTGGTTTTATCATCTGGTTTGTATCTATTTTAAAAATATAATTACTTTTCTAGGTTTCAATCATGGGTAGAGGAAATGAAGAAAAGTTATCCATTAGACGAGATAAAAGCCATGTTCTTTTTGGTGGCACAAAGATATTGCAGCATACACCAGATAAGGTCATTACTCAGTAGCAAGATTATTATTATTATTATTATTATTATTATTATTATTATTATTATTTTTACATATCTGTGTTAATGTCATAAGTCTTCACATTATGCTCCATTTTTCTATTTTCTACCCGGAGTCAGACTTTTCCTATAAAAACTCCCGACGGTGGCTGCTTGGCTGTTGTTCTACGAACTGGGTTTGAGACAAGCCAAGGAAAACTGATGCGCACAATAATATTTTCTACTGAGAGGGTAAATAGCTTTCGGTTATTTGTTGGTGATTTATCAGTGTTACAATATCACTTCATCCCTGCTTTATTTGTCCTCACTTTTTGTTTAGTTACTCTCGATGTATTTGTTGTAGGTTACTGCTAACAGCTGGGAAAGTGGGCTCTTTATTTTGTTTTTGGTAATATTTGCAATAATAGCTGCTGGTTATGTACTGAAAAAGGTGAATAAACACTCCCTGTACATCTGAGTTAGTACGAACAATTCCTATTTTCATTTCATAATGCTTGTGGCATCTGTTTTTAGTTGAACTTCTATATGGTGATGAGACTGGCTTTGGTGCAGGGGCTTGAGGACCCAACGAGGAGTAAATACAAGCTTCTCCTGAGTTGTTCATTGATTATTACTTCTGTGATCCCTCCTGAGCTGCCAATGGAGTTATCAATTGCTGTTAATACATCTTTGATTGCACTGGCACGACGCGGGATATTCTGTACAGAACCTTTCCGAATTCCGTTTGCTGGGAAGGTGTGCTGTGGAAGTTTCACGGATATTCATATTGGATTTTGGTTGTCATGCTATTGCTATCATGATCGTCCTAATATCATTCATTTTCTGATCTCTCCGGTTGTTGAATGAATCTAATATGGAGGGTTTGGATGGTGTCATGATATTGTTGGTAGTTGTAGGTGATTATAAAGATAGGCGATATGAAGTTTTTTATCATCTCTTCAATTTTGATCATCATATCTACTTTTCTAATGTATATACTTCGCCTATCTTTAACCTTCCATTGTGCACTAGTATTTCTTGATTTGTTTTATAAATTGCTAGGAGCAGTAGCTTTCATATATGCAAGTACAAGGTATTCCTGTAAGCAACACTTATTGTTTGGTGCTTAATCGGTTATCTGCTTACTCAAAGGCTAATTTCGTGGCCAAGAGTGCTACAATGACACATAGGTTCAGGGTATTATATTCATCTTCTTTGAGCTCTGTCAATTCTTGTTTGCATCAAAACTTTTTCAGCTTTGTAGACATTAGTGTTTCGGGTGGGAATTTATTTTACATTCTGTATGACCTCTTGTTTGAATTCTTTTTTCTATTTTCTTCTGCAGGTTGATATATGCTGTTTTGACAAGACGGGGACACTGACTTCTGATGACATGGTGTGGTGATTATAAGTATAATATTAGGACTAACTTATTGGTTGAGGTTCTTTTGTTGTAATTTATTTATGCTTTCAATTTCCAGGAATTCTCTGGAGTTGGTGGGTTGACAGAGAGTGTGGATTTAGAGACAGAAATATCTAAAGTGCAGGCCCGTACTGTGGAAATCCTTGCTTCTTGCCATGCTTTGGTTTTTGTAGACAACAAGCTGGTATGAATGCAATTTTTGGAACTGTGAAGAACCTACCATGTTTGAACCAATCCATATCTGGTATCTGATGCCACTCTTTTAACGCACAAAGTAAAAATTTCACCACCCTTGAATATCACCACAACCCCTCTTGAGACACGTTGTTGCTAGTAGGGTGTGAGCACTCACTGTGGAATTCTTGGGAAACATGTCTGAGTTAGAGGCTTTGGATGATTTGGGCCAGTATTTGAATATATACTAAACCATTATAAATAAGGGCAGCATTGGGTAGGGTCAGATATATGTTGTCTTAGCCCTCCATGCAGTGAGACAGTTTCCACGCCTCAAAACAACGTTCAGGTGACAACAAAACAACCTTTATGGGTGCGCCACAACCCACCCTCAGCCACTCTGTCCCTATGCCCTTCAACTTCTCATTTCATAATAACGTAAATTATCTCATAGGCCCATGCATCATTAGAGCTAAGTTTTCACAACATCCACGTTGAGGACTTATCCATCTTACAAGTTCAATTAAACCCCCTCCCTCTTTTGCATTTGGTGTCAAGTTCACCAAATTTCTGTCATTCTGTGGTAAGGCAGCTAAAAAAGAGAAGATCACTTGACGCAAGACAAGAGGAAGAAGATTGAATATATTCAAAAGGAGAGAAAATTAATGAGTGAGAACTAAAAAAAGAGAGAAAAAGAAGAAACGACATCAAATTCCCAACAATTCAATATTCAGTCTACTCTAGCAAACCCACTTATTATGGACACACCCGAAAAATATCCTAATTAACAGTTACTGAAAATAGTCATATAAGTGTAATATTTAAATTGCTAAATTTATAATATCAAACCAATTGTGCATGAAACTAGAACAAATTTCTAAGCCCTAATCTTCAATCCAAAGCTTTATCAAAGCCAAAGCTTTAGCATGAAACTAGACTTCTTCAAATAGAATCACCTTGGGATGAGGCCTAGATGATGTATGCAAGAAATATATGCTGTATAAACCAGTCAAAAGTTAGACTTTAAATACACATTTCTCGAGTGTAGTTTTTGTTGATTAGTTGCAGGTTTTATACAATATTTACCTTTTGTAAATCATAAGCAAATGAGTCTATGCTTTGCTTTTTAGGTATGGCATGGCTTGGCAACTCCGTGATGCATTCTAAAGGCCTTTCCATGTATTTATTAGGGGTGCAACTCGTGCGAGCTGATTTGAACCCACCCAAACTGAAATCTTCGATGCTTGGGCAGGGGTTTCATTTTTCAATACTTGGGTTGGTAGCTTCATGTTTACGTTTTGGTTCAACCCTTTTCTGTTATACTTTATGTATAAGAGGGGGGTCAGATTAGGACACCTTTGCTCAATTCTCAAGCCGCCTTCTCTCTCTCTCTCTCTCTCTCCTCTGAATTTCTCCTTGTCTCAGCCTTTGTTTTTCTCACTTTCTTTCACTGCCATGGATGACAGGGTACTGTCATCTATTCTAGCATGGAAATGGGAATTTTAGGTTACGGCTTTGCATAGCAATCACTCTCTCTCCTACTCTTGCCGTGGATGTTCTATATTGTGCATACAATTTGGTTATTTCCAAGAGTTGAATATGGGCGACTTGTGGTCGATTCTAACAATTATGGCCTTCACATTGTTTGTTTGAACAAGATTCTGCCATCTCGGTCTTGTGGGATTGTGTGTAATGCTTAGCATTATAGATTTAGATCTGCATATTAGTAGTTTTTTTAATTTTGTTGTTCTTTGTTTGCAATTTCCTAGTAAATGATATATGTTAGTTTCAATTTTCATAGTGCCTGTGTTTACTGTTCAGTATCAATTGCTACTTGGAAGGGATGGTAAGTTGAAAGGTTCAGCCCAACTTAACGGTTGGGTTTTGGCTTAGCCCCGGGTTTTGTGCTTTATAATTTGTGTTGAGCTCGGGTTGAGCTTTCATCTACCCAACCCGCCCTAGTTCCACCCCTAATATTTATTGAACATGTAATAGCTGAATGATTCCAATCTTGTTGGTCTGGACTTTCTGGTGCTGATCAACCAGATGCTATACTTATTGTCTTGATCCCATCATTGCTTGTAGGTTGGTGATCCCCTTGAGAAGGCTGCACTTAAGGGAATTGATTGGACCTATAAATCTGATGAGAAGGCCCTGCCAAAAAAGTAAGCTGTGGCAGTAATTGTCATTTTTTTATTCTTATGAAAGCATAATTGATCATAGTTTTCTCATTAAATTGATTCATATATCTGGGAATTCTGTTTATCCTCCATTTTTATTATGTTAAAATGTAGTTTATCTTTGTAATTTATCTTCCTGTTTGTGTTTGGGAGATTTTCTATAATCTCTGCATAGTTTCGGTGATTTATGTTATCCTCTTAATTACTCGGTGTTAGTTATATCTTTGGTTAGTGTCATTAGTAATTTGAAATGTTACTGTTTATGGGATATGAAACGAGAATATTATTGTGAAAAGAGTAGAAGATTTCCAGGAAGGGGCAGGCGTGATTTATGGATTGGAGAAAACAAATAAAATAATATGCTAATAGTCACTTAAGTGTGCCCCATTTCTTGGAAAATGATGTCTCCCAATTCCCAAAAATAGCCATAAAAGGGACTCATACCTCCAATGGTATAGGTAGATTCATATTTTTTCATAATGATATGACTGCAGCCTCCAAGGCATAATTTATCACAATTGTTAACCAAAAAAATTCACACCCAATTCGATCCCTGTATTGGGTCGCTTTCTATTGGTGTGATTTAATTATTGCTTGATTTATGTAAGATTAAAGCTGTTGAATCACTTTTCATAAAGTCATAATGGAATATATTTGCATTCTTTAGTAGGTGAATGCCCACTGGAATATCCGCACGTGGTACACCATGCCAGACAACAAAAGATTGCTTCTGCCTTTTCTGCATTCTCTCTTTGTCTAAACAGGGGGAGCATTGCATCTATTGCAATCACCTCACCCCTATACCTTTTATCAATGTGCTTGTTGTTGGAGGCACTAATCAAAGTCTACCTTCTTGGATGTAATTCTTTGAACTCACTTGACCAAAAAACAGGCTGAATTTACCCACTCCACCCTTCCAATCCCCCCCATCCCCCCTCCAAAAAAAAAATGAAAAGAATAAAAAATGCTCAAAAACTAAGAGAACGAATGCAAAGAGTTGCTTTAGAGGAATGCCTTAACTTTCGTTTTCCCAGTACTTGCGGTAGTCACATTCAGACCAAACACATTGAAGGGAAAAGCTTAGGATTTGCAATGATTTTAGGTTCATATTCGTACACATGGAAGTTTTATGCTCATTTTGCTATATAATGCAATTCTCCTTTTCTGGCTTGAAGTCTATAAAAGAGTTTTACATGAAGCGTGAAGCAGACATAGTTTTCCTGCTGTCGTACCTTAACAAAAGTCTTGAGCTTGAGCTTGTTACTGTTAATTTGTTATATTATAATTGTGCTCACATTACTTGCTCTAAGTATGTCACCTTCTCTAGCATGATATATATTGGCCAACAAAAGAAGATAAATATGCTTATATGGTATCGTAATTATCAAATCGAGATTCGTATCGGAATTAAAATCTTAGATTTAAGAAACAGGAATCGTACCGAATCGGGAATTGTAAGATTCATCGCAAAATTCGTGCATGATAACAAATAATATGTACGTATTGAAAATAGACAAGCTATTAAATATCGAATATTATTGTATTTTAAAAATAATCAATTGACGGAATTGACATGAGTTTATACCTCTGTTACTTCTTTCTTAATACATAATAGACCGTTCCCTCAAAATGGCCACGACGACAGATGCATAATTTTTAACCAATAAATAGCTATTGTCTTCCTACCAATGAAGTTAAAATAAAATAGGAAAATATCATATTGATTCGAAAATGTAAACTTATAAAATCACTTCTCACATTCAATTTTGTTAAGTTTAGAGAATAACTCAATATTAGAGAAAGACAGAGAGTGGTCAAAAATTTAACCTACTCTCACAAAACCACTTGTATTTATAGTTAACTCATAATATAAGAATTACACATATATTCTCTTGTATTTACACATAGTACCTTAACACTATTAACAATCTACACACAATACCCCAATACTCTTAACACTCCCCCTCAAGCTGGACTATATATATTATATAATCCAAGCTTGGAACAAATTGTTGTAAGACGTGTACGACTCAATGCTTTAGTAAACATGTCTGCAAGCTGATCTTCAGATATTATAAATGGAGTCATAATCTCTCTAGCTACTATCTTGTCTCGGATAAAGTGACAATCAACTTCAATATGTTTAGTTCTCTCGTGAAACACTTGATTGGCAGCAATATGAATAGTTGCTTGGTTGTCACAGAACAACTGTAAAAGATTTTGAACTGGAAACCCAATTTCCTGGANCTTCAATATGTTTAGTTCTCTCGTGAAACACTTGATTGGCAGCAATATGAATAGTTGATTGGTTGTCACAGAACAACTGTAAAAGATTTTGAACTGGAAACCCAATTTCCTGGAAGAAGTGTAGTAGCTAAGTCAACTCACTCGTTGTATGCACCATTGCCCTATACTCAATCTCAGCACTAGATCTTGCTACCACTGGTTGTTTCTTACTTTTCTATGAGACAACATTACATCCTAAGAAAGTTCAATAACCAGTGGTTGATCTCTGATCAGAAGGAGATCCAGCCCAATCAACATCTGAGAAACCTTCCACTCTAAGATATCTATTAGCTTGATATAACAATCCAAGGCCAGGAGCACGTTTGAGATATCGCAGAATACGAGTAACTGCCTCCCAATGTGGTACTCTAGGACACCCCATAAACTGACTTACTATACTGACTACATAGGAAATATCTGGTCGAGTAATAGTGAGGTAATTGAGCTTCTCCACCAATCTGCGATACCGACCCGGATTCTCAAACAGTGCACCATCATCCATCAATAATTTCTGATTCGGATCCATAGGAACATCAATCGGCCTGCCACCCAACAAACTTGCTTCCTCTAGCATGTCAAGTACGTATTTCCTCTGAGATAAACAAATACCCTGTTTAGATCGAGCCACCTCAATACCCAAGAAATACCTGAGTTTTTTCAAGTCCTTCGTATGAAATCGATCTTGCAGGAAGGTTTTTAACTTGGCAAACCCCTTAAAATCATTTCTAGTAATCACAATATCATTTACATAGACCACCAATAGAATATATCCAGCATCCGTCTGTCTATGAAACACATAGTGATCTGTCTAACATCGAAGAAGACCAAACTCTAAAACTGCATTTGAAAATTTACCAAACTATACCCTCGGTGACTGCTTCAAACCATACAAAGATTTCTTTAACTGCCATACACTCCCGTACTCCCCCTGAGCAGTAAACCCAGGTGGTTGTTCCATGTATACCTCTTCGACCAAGTCACCATGGAGAAAGGCATTCTTGACATCCAATTGAAATAAAGACCAATCAAGATTAGCAGCCAAATAAATCAAGATTCGAACAGAGAAAATTTTGGCAATAGGAGAGAAAGTCTCCTCATAATCAACACCATAAGTCTGAGTAAAACCCTTTACAACAAGCCGAGCATTGAGACGCTCCACAAAACCATCCGAATGAAATTTAATAGTATACACCTAACGACAATCAATAGTTCATTTATCAGGAGTTAAAGGAACAAAATCTCAAGTCCCATTATGATGTAAGACATCCATCTCCTTCTCCATAGCTTTCCTCCAACCCGGATCAGATAACGCATCCTGTAAGCGCTTAGGAATAAAGATAGTAGATAATTGAGAGGTAAAATAAGAGAAGACAGGAGATAAGGCATCATATGAAATAAAATGAGCAATGGGATAATTAGTAACATATGAACGAGTACCTTTGCGAAGGGCAATAGGTAAAGAATCTAAATTACCTGATGTACCGGGATCAGCAGACGGCAAAGAAGACGGTACAAGCACCTCAGTCGATGGGCGAGGATGACGAGAGTATATACGAAGAGGTAAAGTGGATGGTGACACAGTGGACAGCAAAATATCTGATGGTGAGGGAAGAGATGGTGATACAAGAGACGTTCCAAAATCTAAATCCAAAGGCCGAGCAGGTGTTAGAAAATATGGAATAGATTCCTCAAATGTGACATCGGCACTATTAAAGTACCGCCTTAGGGAAGGACTATAACAACGATACCCCTTTTGTTTGTGAGAGTATCCAAGAAATACACATTTGGTAGCCCGAGGGTCAAGTTTATCAAACCCAGGGCCCAAGTTGTGAACATAACAGACACACCTAAAAATTTTAGGAGTAAAGGAGAATAAGGGCTTACCCGGAAAAAGAATAGAATATGCACTTTGTCCATTTAACACAGATGATAGCATACAATTAATAAGATAACAAGCAGTGAGAACAGCATCACTCTAAAAATATCGGAGAATATTCATCTGGAATAACAGTGCACGGGTCACTTCTAACAAATGACGATTCTTGCGTTCAGCAGCACCATTCTGTGGAGAGGTGTACGCTTAAGAAGTCTGATGAATAATGCCAGTTTTATTAAGATAAGCTGAAAAAGAATCAGATTCATATTTTCGAGCATTATCAAAATGTAAAATACGTATACGACAACCATATTGAATTTTTATTTCCTTGCAAAAGGTCTCAAAAATAGAGAATAATTCAGAACGAGCTTTCATCAAAAACAATCATGTCACACGAGAATAATCATCCACAAATGACACAAAATAATGATATTTATTAGATGAAATATTCTTTATTGGACCCCATACATTATAATGGACCAACTCAAATGGACGAGATACACGACTATTGACTCTAGACTAAAATGAGACACGGTGATGCTTACTAAGTTGACAAGCTTCACAAGACAAAGACGACACACAACTAAGATTGGGAACTTGACGCTTCAGATTCTGGATAAAGGGATGTCCAAGACAACAATGTCATTGAAAAGGAGACAATAAGGTCTGTAGAGCCCGAGTAGGTGAATCAAAATCAAAGTAATATAGGCCACCAATTTCATGCCCCGTACCAATCTTCCTCTTCGTCCTGAGATCCTGAAAGACACAATAAGAGGGATAAAAGGTTACAAAACAATTGAGATAACGAGTAATCTTACAAATGGAAA